TATATATAACTGATGCATTAATCGTATTTTAAAACTATCTCAAGTTTCTAGATTGCCGTTAATGGCTGTCATGGCCATTTACCATACGGAGGTGAGTCCAGTACTGTTGAATCAGTTTGAGGCATCCAATCCCAGGGAAGTTGCTCTCATCGGATATTACATTGCACCCTTGCACATGTAGAAACGATCTTGCCACTCAAGGCGGCGTATTTTTATTTTGTTTTTGAGATTTTTGAAGGTGATGGTGGGCATGATTGTGTAGCAGGTGGGAAGCCAATTGTTCTTGCGCCCTACTGCCATGGGTGTATCAATCCAAGGAATTGGAGAGCGTCCCAATGGCACAGTGTTCCAGAACAATGTGGCCACCATCTACGTGACAGACTGCAGTTCCCTAGTCCTGTGGTCGACAGAGGGAGAGTGAAACATAGAGGGGCAGAGAGATGGCCAAGACATCTAACTGTTTATGGACTTGCGCCGGTTGGCCGAGTCGATGTTGAGTTGGCGGGTTGCGCCAGGTTGAAGATCATCTGGCGTTGCCTGGCTAGAGAGCGACGGTTGATCGCTCTCTCATGCACTTTGGAAGAGGTGGGGATGGCGGGACCAGGCTCGGACGGTGGGGACGCCCAAGGAAGGCTGACGGACTGTCTTCAGGTATTCAAAGAGGAAGGCTTCGATCTCTGGGGCAGTCTGCTGAATCTGCATCCAGGTCCGGAAGGCCAGATGGCGTTTTGACCATTCTGCAGCTGCAGTGGGAGCAGAACAGCGTGGGACATGGAGATGGTCTTCCACCGGGCAGGAGGAGCATCTGGGGCAAGAACTCTTCACCGAACGGTTCCAAATGGCAAAAATTTTCCCACCCCTGTCATTCCGGAGATATGCTTGGGTGTCCAGCGTTGGAGATTGGCTGGGAGCGCCTTCATGGCGCGTGCAAGAGATAACCAATTGACCTCACGGATGGACTGCTCAGAGAGGCGGTCCTTGGAGGACCAATATGCACGAAGGGCAGGAAGAGAGACCAGCTTCATGATGTGAGCCTGATCCAGTCGGGACGACTTGACACCATCAATGAATAAAGACGCAGGTTCATGGAAGAAGCGGGGGTTGGAGGCGGCAGATTGGCCTGTAGACTCCAGCAGGCGGCGGTAGGCTTGTGCTCTGGAGTCGACTTCAACATTGCGCTGCTCCCACCAGTCCAGTTGGGAGAAAGGACGGTGTTTATCTAGGTGACCCTTGACATGGCGCCGATGAACTTGGAGAGGAAGGTGGCAAAGCCAGGCCCGGATGGTGGAGGCCAAGTCAAACTGCGCGCCAGACGAGGACAGATGAGCTTCGGAGAAGGACTTATCCAAGGCGATGAGGCCATCACAGGCCATCTTGGCCGAAGGCTGGCTGGCAAAGGGCTTCAGTTGAGCAAGGAGAGCCATCCATTCCAGCACCAGGAGAGAAGCCATAAGGCCAATCAATTCGCTTTGCGTTGAACTCTGATCCTCAAATTTTCCAGGGGTTTGGCAGGTGATCCAGATGATATCCCTGCGATCCTCAGTGAGAATTTGAGCGCATGCTGTGCCCACTTTAGCTTTGTAAGAGCCGTCGCTCACAACACGAAGGGTACCGGCAAGGAGGGCCTGAACTAGGCGATCCTCACTCCCTTCAATGGCAATGGCCTCTGGAACCCAGCCGTGAGACCCTGACTCAGCTAGATTGCCAAAGTGGTGCCAAAGATCAAGGATGGAAGATGGGGGGGGCAGGTGATTCGGCTGGTTGGTGGGGGCCAGTAGAGTGGAGGAGGACCCGGCTCTTGTGGATCAGGGACCGGCTAGGGAAGACAGAGACCAGGGCGCGGACAGCATCCACTGGGAGAGGTGGGAGATCCAGGTTGAAGCGGCGAGGCAAGTAGAAGGTGCGCTGACGGCTGGTGGAGGAAGTAGGTTCAGATGGGATCCATATCAGACCCTCCCAGTGGAACAAGGTATTGGTAGAGGGGGAGTATTGCCACTTCCAGGACAAGTCAGCTGAGTGCCACGGGCCTAACAGATTGCTGAGGCAGCGTCGGTTGGAGTGGCCTGTCAGGTGAGTAGAAATCCATTGCTGCCACATAGTCCACCACTGATTAGACGGACGAGCAGTACGGGGCCATTGGTACCGGTCAGCAAGGTAATCTGCTTGTATCCCTTTCCATGCGTCCAGAGTGATTGCTGTCCCTTCAGCATTCACGATATCGGAGAGAGTGACAGCGTGAAGGAAGATCCGACACCAGTTGAGCCATTTCAATGTAAGCTGATCCACCAAAGAGTCAATGAACAAGTCCACTAACAGTTGATCCCCTTGGCGCATTGGTTGGAGGGAGGGAGAATCAAACTCCAGATGTATGGAGAGAGAATCAAGTTCACTCCAGGTCCGCTTGGCCCACGTATCAGAGGCCAGGATGGAGGTGTTGGAATAGACTTGTTGGAAGAGGCCATAGGAGGTACCGGTCTCGAGCTGATGTGCCTGAAGGACTGCCTCCAAGAAGGCGCCCGTTTTGGTCTGGTTAGCCAGATGGCAAAGTAGCATGTCTAAGTGCTTGATGACTTGGAGGCCGTACGGATGGGGAACACCCACTCCCTGGAGTGCAATGGGGGCGTAGACCATAGCACAAGGAAAGTTGCGGCAGATACCAGCCTTGGGCAGTGCCGCCCGGAGCACTGGAGACAGTATCTGGTCCCACTCCTGTTGGGAGAAGAAGGTGAGCGCCATTGGGTACTCCAAAGTCTTCTGGATTGTGGTGCAAAGGAGAGGAAGGACATCATAGCGGTGAAGGAAACTAGGTTGGAACTGGTCCGCCCATGCCTTTGCTTTCCCTTGCATAACCGCGAGTTGCGCTTTCCTGTTGGAGCAGGGGGACATCAGAATACCCAAAGTCTTGGCCGATTCATCCGCTTTGAGCCACTTTAGATGAATAGGGGTGCCATCCAGATCATCTAATTCAACCGCAATTTCCGAACTGCCTGTTGGAAGAAGAGATGGTTTGAAATCTCGCTTCTTCCGGAATTGCCATACTCCAAGTTGGGGGGTTCCACTTGAAGTCAATCAGGTACCAAAAGGATTTATCTGGTCGGATGGCGCCACCTGTCAGGTGGACGCCGTTGGACCACCAATGCAGTGCTTTGGCCACCGCTGGGACAATAGATTCACCGGACTGGTCAGGAGATGGTGCAGCTTGGCATACATCAGTGTCGTCAACAAAACAGAAGCAATCAGCCAAGAGCGGAGCCCAAGATATTGACATCAGGAAATCAAAGCCAAAGCCTTTACTAATCATCATCCCCAAGAGAATGGAGCTAATTGCCACCCAGATAGGAGGTCCTGCCCCATTGCCTTGTCCACAGCCTTGGAATGGGGTCAGAGTTGGAGGAGTAAAGGCACGGTCCAAATCACCAAACCCTGTACGGACCCGGTGTTTAGACTTCATCAGGGTGTCAAACATGGAGCGAAGGGTACGCCATTGAATCCCAAAGCGCATCAGGCTAATGATAGCCACCCAGTGGACAATCCGGTCAAAGCAGGACTTGGGGGCATCATTGGATATCCACCCCGCAGGATGGCGTTGGAGATGTAGAAGGTCCCAAGTGAGCCGCTTAGTAAGAGCCAGATCGATGGCCTGGTGACGCTTGCGAGAACCGTGCTGACCTGTAGGGATCAATTTGTGCTTCTCCGCATAGGCCATGGCCGATTTCCCCACCCTTTTGTTGTTTGCTTGGAGTTCAGAGTTCATCATTTGGATCCAGCGCATCAGGTCCACCTGAATTTTGCCTGGTTTCTTTTCAATCGCAAAATTGAGCAAATGGCACCATTGGGCTGGGACAAATCCTGTCGCAAAAGGGATGGAGCGAAAGATTGTGTCACAGCAAGCAAGCAGGTTTGATTCTACGCCCGCTTTGTAATGTCCATTATGCAGACCATGTGGTTCCGACCCTTTATGCTCCCCCATCTTACGCCAGAAGCTAACATGATCCTCAAGGTCCACCTCCAGTGGTTGGTCTTTCAAGCCCTCCGGCAGTCGACAATGGTCAATGAATGACACCAAGTAAGGGTCCGATGTCTCAACTTCATATAGGCCTTGGAGCAATGCTTTGCTGTTCTGTTCTGCGTTGGGGCCGTTGAAGTCGGAGTACAAAGGTTCAGTCATTGGTGGGGTAGGGTAGGGGTAGCGCGTCTGGTCATACCGTAGACCGTTCTTGTGCATGCAGCCCTCCTCCACCAGGCATTTAGACTGGCATGTTACCCAATGGGAGGAACCATCTTGTGCCACCTGGGCCACTTTAATCTGCTGTAGGCCACCAGAAAAACCTTTGCCTTGAGCTTTCCGTCGCCGTCGAGTCTCCTCCTTCTGTGCCATCTGTTGGACTCGAGTCCGTCGGCTGCGGGCCTTGATGTTGCCCTTCTTTGCTTTCTGGACCGCTGCTGATTGGAGCTCAAGGTACTCCCGGCGCCACTGACAGGCACGTTTCCGCTTGGCCTCTTTGTAGTCCCGATGTTCAAGGTACCACTTTCCCTGTAGGTCAGCTTCCGATAATTTCCATGCGTCACTCAACCCTGTCTTCTTCAGCAAGCGCCGGACCTTTCGTGAACTGGTCCTGACCTTTCGATGTCCCAAGATCAAAAGCTGGTAGAGGTGCAGCCTATCCCATTTCTGCTGCATTTGTGGAGACCAGTGAGCTTTACCCATTGACAGTTTCCGGCAGTTCCGCTCCACTCTTCGGCGAATCTCGTAGGCCTGGCAATGGATTGTGTTGAATCTATCTCGTTGATTTGCCGTCAGGTAGCCATCCTGGACCGAAATATCCTCCGCTAAATGTGACAATCGTTGAGGAAGGCGAAAGTGACGATAACCCGCTTCAGCAGCTTTAATATAGCGGTCGACCGAACGGCCATCAGCCAATGTCAGGCGACGTGGGTGGAAGGAGGGGGAGTTGACCGGCGGAGCCCCGAGAGTCGCCTCCAGGTCAATGTCAATCCAGAGTTCCCTGTGTTGGGATGTACGGATGTGGTTTATACGCCCTGACAGCTGGTGAGAGCTGACGCAGATGGCTTCCGGAAGAGATATTTTGTACCTGCTTTGGGAGATCATTGTTGATCAACTTCTGGCAAGAATAGCAGTAGAATAAGATCTAATAGGGAATGGTGAGACTGTTCATCCGCAGGTAGAAGCCCAGTGTTGGGATATGACGAAATATGAGTTTTTACGCTCCAAAAGAAACTATTCAAGTACGAGGTTTTCGAAACGTGCGATCGGACTTTGATCGTGCAAGATGTCGGGATTCGACGCAAGTATGCCGGACGCAAGTCTGTCGGACAATCTGTATCCACACAAACAGGAAAAGACCCTGTACAAGTGGAATATTGATGTTGTGTACCATGCAGTAGGGAATAATGCAAGATGTCCCAAAGTACTGCATTCAACACAAAATTGTCGTAGAAGTCGAATCGAGTTCTGTAAACAAGGGATTTTCCAAGGGAAAATCGTTGAACTCACTTTTGTGATTGAATCATCAATTCAAGCCAAACATTAATCAAATAGGAACAATTTCACTC